ACATAAATAGCTCATACGAAAAAATACATGTGAATCAAGAATATTTGACACGAAGTTGCTCATCATCAACTACTCCGCAGGCTGGTACAGTTGGTCACGAATCGCATCGGCCAAGGCCCTCTTAAAGCTAGTTAAGTCAGGTGCGGTCACAACGTTTTCTGGGAGGCCGTTCCAGATGTGTATACATCGGATGGAGAAAGAGCGACGACGAACATCTAGTGTAACATGTGGCACGCGTATCTTGTAACAATGGCCTCGAGTGCAGCCGTGTAATTGACGAGAGAAAAACGTCTCAGGTTTTATATGACTTTTACCATTAAATATTTTCCAATATTGGATTAAGTCTGCGCGCAGAAGCCTTCCTGCGACTGAATACATATCAAGTTTTCGCAGACGCTCCTCATAACTCAGATTCTGCAAATCATCTATATGTCTAGACCACATCCTTAGCACACGTTCCAGTTTAACCATATCGCCCTTGTAACCAGTGTTCCACACGCATGAAGCATACTCTATCAGTGGTCTTATGTGAGTTTTAAAGAGGAACAACATGAAATCAGATGAGCGGCAGACAGTTGACTTAAGAAAACTGTAACAACTGTGTACTGTGGAAAACTGTGGAAAACTGTGTTATCAGTATTACGCACTTAACGTCGCTAAATGCCGCTCGTAGCACAAACCAGTCCTGTAAATGACGACGTAGTGAAGAAAAGAGGCAGGCTACTGCAATGCCGAGATTTGATAACAGATCCCAATCCTGTCATTTCGCCCGCCACTTCCATTTCAATATCTCCATATATCCTCCTTCAGCCCCCCCCCCTCCCCTAACAGTGTCACCAATCTGTATTTCCCTGGTAGCCTTCACCAGCTGTCTCCCGACCGTTCCGGTCCCATCCTCATTCTTTTCACAGCTGTCGTTCGGGCCAGCGATGCGTCAATATGACATTTAAAGTCCGTCCGTCAAAACCCTCCAGCATTCAATCCCTGGACACGGCAACAGGACGGTCCCGAATTCAGCGACTCTACATAATGACGCACGGACACACCCTCCAATAGGCGGCCTTGCGTTTGACGTCACACTCAGACATATTGCTGCATGCTTGTAACCAAGCCGACCGGCCGTAGCCGATTTCATGACGTCACACGACGTCACTCAACAGCTGCCAGCGGTTTCTGGAGATTAGAGCTGACGAATCGGCCGGCGGAACGGTAATGGTGCAAGGGACTTCACCTGGAGTCGTCGTTAAAATGCCAGAGCGTGCAGTGGAATGGGAGAGGCGAAGCCGGAAGGGATGACACAGTTTATGATCAGCTGGGAGGGGCAGTTCCAGTCTCCAGATGACAAGTTGAAACTCGGACACTGCTCTGGTGGAGAGAATGGTGAAAAGGAGGGAGGGAGGGAGGGAGGGAGAGGGAGAGGGAGAGGGAGAGGGAGAGAGAGAGAGAGAGAGAGAGAGAGAGAGAGAGAGAGAGAGAGAGAGAGAGAGAGAGAGAGAGAGAGAGACGCTAAATTGGTAAACACAGAGGGCCCCTGATCTGTCGAAGGATGACAAATGGGTTATCCTGCGGGTATCCCACCTTAACATTTGAGTTGAGATAGCCAAAGTGGGGTCCCTGGCTTGCACTTAACGGTTTGGGCACTCGCAACATCGAGAAAGACTTTAATGCCTGAAACAGACTCTTTCCGCAGTCAGGAAATCGCATGCGAGAGCCTATTCAAATACATGAAAGCACACTCGCATCAATCGCACGCACCTCCCGCAAGCGATTGATGCGAGAAGAATTATAATGTATTTGAATAGGCTCTCGCATGCGATTTCCTGAACGCGGAAAGAGTCTGTTTCAGCCTTAATTCGGAGATATTTAATTTCAAAGTTGAGGCACTTTGGATTCGGAGGGGCTAATGTATTGAATGCCCCCTCTGAATTTGTGACGTCAGCCAGTGGTGGTATATCCTGTTTGCGCGCAACATCTGCCGCATTTTTAAGATACCAAATTATTGCTTCCAAATGACATTGTAGGAACCAAGATTCTTACAGATAGTAGGAACAGCGTGGGCTCTGAAAAATAAAAAAAGTAATTGTCTATGTCTCAAAAACGGGTTAATATCTTTCAATGAAATTTGGTAGATACTCATTTTTGCTCACTCTGAACCATGCGACACCACCTTTATGCCAATTCATGAACTTTTTATAGGTTCGAGCCTGGATGGTCCCTTTAACCCGCGCCCCACTGGCGGGGGGGGGGGGCTATTCATAGCTCCCTCCCGTTTTTCTGCAAAAACTTCCACACCGCTTGACGTATCAACGCTAAACGTTTAGTACCTTCGGCTGCATCAATTTGACACCTTGTGTCAAAATATGAGCTTCGTAGCTACCATAGGTCGGCCGGAAATGACGTCAGAGTGACCTCATGTTCGGCTGATTTCGACGTAAAACACTGAACCACGGCAATCGCTCCCAAGTGCTCAGTTTTTGAGCTAGGTCCAATTTCTTTGCATGAGAAGACTAAGAACAGACGGCACTATCAAACTGGTATCTCGGATTTTCACAATTTTAATTCTTTTGAAAATTATCAATATTAAAATTCAAAATTTATATTTTTGTCTTTTTTCAAAAAGTTTTAAATTTTCGAGAAAACACCGGAATATATGTGATAGAACACACGCTTATGACTTACCTACTCTAGCAAGTTTTAGCCAGATATCTTCAAAAATGGACAAGTTATGCGCATTATAGCAAAAAATTCAAAATTATAAAAAAAAATCAACTTTTCCGTACGTATTTGAGATCGTACACCAATATCAATAGCACCATTGTGTTCCTGAGCTCAAACTGCATCCGATAGATACCTTTTTTGTTGAAAAAGTTTAACTTTAAAATTTGACCTTTTTACCTGAAAGTGGCCTGACCTAAGCTAAATTCAACTCAAAATGACCTCTAATGATACAGACGACATCAAATTCGAAATCTACGGCCTAAATAGGGGAAGCGGGGGTAGCACCGCCATGTGGGGAACACCGCCATCCTCTCTATCGGCAAAACTCTGAATTGTAAATGTAAACACCCGCCATTTCGATGTCTGAACGGAAACGGGACGCCGCGTGAGGTAGGTTTCGCTAAGATTTATTTGATTTTGAGATCGCAATAGCCCATTTTGTGAATTTCAAACCATCGTTGTAATCATTTGGCATGGTTGAGCAGCAAGTAAGTGGTCATTTCAAGTCAAAATGCCTTGATTTTTACGTTAAATTTAAGGGCATGAAGTGCTCGTTGTTGAGAAAGGAATTACAGAAGAATCGCGTCCCGGCTTGTTTTGCTGTCGGGGCGTTGTCGGTCGATGACTGTGAGTGGGGTAACACCGCCATGCTCGGCGGTGCTACCCCAAGGGGTGGCAAAATGGATAAAGCCGCAATGATGATTCACTCAGCTCGGAGAAGAGCTTTAGTTAGGCCGCAAACGTCGTCTGTTTTTTAACCTTACGTTTGACTTCACTGGATGTTTCGAAATAAACGTGAATTTGTCATGCTTTGTATGCATATTGTCCGCAACAAACAGTCTGATCTGTGACAAACTAACAACCAATTCTTGTGTGTCTTATATGAGTTTGAGTTACTATTTCAGACAGCAGTAACGCTTCCAAGGGTGGCTGTCACCGTAAGGCCGATCTGTGGATAACATCGCCATCAGTGGCGGTGCTACCCGCACATTTTTTGGAGGACGAAAAATGCAGGACTTGTTTTCGACGTCTGTAAAGCAGCGAAATTTTATAATGGAGCGCTGGAAACTATGCCAACATGTAGGAAAACATTCCTGCTTTCACATGAATGCAAAAGAGCTTCGTTTTTACTACGCATATCAGCTCGGTGAGCAGAAATGCTTAAGGTGGCGGTGCTCCCCCCGCTTCCCCTAGACCATAAAACATGTGTCACGTGACCGACGCATGATATATTTCCGTGACCTGTGATGACCTGACCCTGACCTGAAAATCAAAGTACAAGTTTGGTACCCTCAGAGTATCTAGAGCATCTGTTCACGAGTGTGTAAACCAAAAATGAGCCTGATCTGACTTGTAAGACGGCGGCCAGAGCCCAAAATGCTAATAATTTCTACTTTGACCTGACCTGTGACGTCATCGGTGACCTCGAGGTCAATAAAGTTAGGTTTCGCTCGACAGTTTTTCCGGGGCTATCAGACGCCGTTTGAATTTTGACGATCGGCCCAGTAGTTTCGGAGTTAGGAGGGGGGCTATGGAGAGCCCCCCCCCCCCAGTAGGGCGTGTTATACGCAGACCCCAGTGGGGCGCGGGTTAATAGTTGATCGTCTTCCCCGGTCAATGTCTTCCCTTGAATTGGATTTATAAAGTTGCATGATATAGTAAGTTTGTTGAAGTTGTACTGAAGCTCTCGCTGACTATTGGCGTGTTCCTACTCATCGCTATGTCACCGTAGTATATTGCAAAAGTTATACATATACATACACAAGTTATCCATATACTACAAGTACCTTAGTACCCGCATGTAGCGTACTGTACAGTGACCCTGAGTATATTGTCCCAGCACCCTCACAGGGAACAACGATAAGCTGCCAGAGGGAACGCACAGAAAACCTCAGCTGCTCTTGTACAGGGACCGGCACTCGATATCAATGTTATCGGTTGTTACTGGCCAGGACAGACGGCTAGAGTTGGGTTTCGTGTACACACACACAGTTGCAACTGCGCGTCCCCTTACATCCCTAAATATCGTTGCTTTTCATTTACAATGCATGACGCTGGTCGCTGAAGAAGTAGAGCGCTCAATTGATAGACCGATTCTCAACACTACATCATGGTCTTGGTCACCCTATTAGGTAAGCAACTGATCTAAGTCCCTGAATTATGGAGCATTGTAAAGCCAAGGTGTTGTGTGTTGACCGCAGATTACTTTCTCATTCTTTTCCTGGCTGACCCGCATGGTGCATGTAGGACGATGACCAGCTGGTGACCGCATATAAGACCTGCGCCGCTGCAGTGGAGATTAGACTCGCGAGTCGCGTCGGCAGCGCGCGAGTGAAGTTAGCTCGGACAACACCTAGAGAGAGGGAGAGAGAGAGAGAGAGAGAGAGAGGGAGAGAAAGAAAGAAAGAAAGAAAGAAAGAAAGAAAGAAAGAGAGAGACAGGGAGAGGCAGGAGGAGAGATGGCCTGGTCTCGAAGACTGGTGACGGTGGTGCTAGTAGTGATGGTGACGGCTGTTCACCGATCGGATGCTAGGAGACTGACAGCATCTTCCAACGGTGAGTGGTGCTATTAGCGCAATGGTGATGAACGCGCGTGGTCCAGACTTTACATAGAAACCAATGACAGTCGTTTTCACAACCGGTTATCTGGTGAATGCACCACACTTGACCATATCTAACCAGATATCTTGTACTGTAAACATCTTCACATTATGAATTTATGTCAATGTTAAAACCGAAAATCATGTCTAATAATTTGATTTATCACGTGGGTAAGGGTATGCAATATGCATATAAAGACGCTGTAAAAGGCCAAAACGGGCGAGGGGTAAGGTCAGTAGTTTTTATCGGGCTAGAGCAAAACTAATACAATCACGTACTTATATGCTTCGATGGCAATCACCGAGGCATATACGTGTTGACCTCAGAAGGATAAGGTCCAAAATTGACCTCGGGTCACGTGACCTCAAGGTCAACATGTATATCATTCGCTGGCCGCTGCGTCTGGACGAGTTGAACACGAGACCATTCGCGAGACTGTACCTTTTTCTGAAAGGAGTGTTATAGTATCAAAAAGGTTTGGTGACCTTTGATGACGTCACATGACCTTACAGTTGTCAAATAGAAAACAGGGCATCAAGGTATTCAAGGCCGGTCGTGAATGATGTCATTCATCGTATTATTGGTCATCACGATGCGTTTCAGTGCAAAAATAAGGCATGTAATTCCTCCCCGAACATTGACTTATAATGAGGAGGCCAAAAAATTGAGCTTACCATAGGCCATAGTGATGGAAAAAAAAAATCCGAGACAAAAAAGTTGTAGGTCCTCATCGCCTTGCGAAGCTCAAAGCGCTCGGTCATCTACTGTAGCTCTGACACGGTGGCAAAGTAACAAAAAAGTGATTTGAGGTCGAGTCATTCAAAGTGACCTGCTGAAATGATCTTCAAAGCTAGGGAGCTAAAACTTGCTCTCACCATTGTGAAATTGATAACGAAATAAGTATGCCAAATTTCGCGGAGCCGCGGTATTCGCCGCGGTATTCCCACTATTTACGAAAGCTCTCAAGAGGGCGGATAACCGCCCCCGTCGCCGCGGCCGCGCGCGTCGATGCGAATACGAGCGAGTGATAATGCACAAAACCTCTACAACATGAAACTTCGCTATGCATGTCAAATCTGCTTTATCCTTTTTTCAGGTTCAACCACGCCACACACGACTCCCGAGCCACCGCCAACGTTCTTCGTCGGTGGCGAACCTGAGAAGGGTTCGTCGAGTCAGGGTACTGGACTCATCGGCACTGGAACGAGACCCCCCATTCATCTGGGGCAAATCCTCGGCTTCTTGGGTCCAACGCGGCGTCCGTCCGGGCCCGCGGGTCCAGGCGGATATCATGTGCCCCCACGTCATACTACGACCACCACCACCAAAAAACCCTGCAGACATTTTCGCTGTCCCGGCCGCTTCCCATGGTATTCTGCCTCGCACCCCGGCTTCCAACACAAAGGTGTGAAGCTTCGCCGGCCGTAGGTGGCTCCTTAGCAGCCCGGAACAACTTACGGTGCAAGAGGATGTGAGTGTGTTCGGCGATCATCGGCGATCATGTTACTGTAACAGCGAAACTAACATATTGCTTATGTAATATGTATCACCATAGATAACAGTAGAACAGAAGAACAGTAGTTCTACTGTCATCTATGGTATCACATTAAATACATGTCAGTGAAACCGGAGTTGTGGTTTAATGGACGGGGGCATCGGAAAAAAGTATGAAGTGATTTGCCTCACAATCAATAGTGGTTTCGAAAAAGGTGATAACACCCGCACCAGTACACTTTTTTAGCATGTCATAGGCCATAGCTCACCTTCAGACCACTCTTTGCGGAATCCAAGGTCTAATCACAAAAACAATGTCAGTGTAAATGTTTTTATCCCGCACCGTAGACAGTGTTTTCAATTCCTTCACGTGCAAAGAGGGAAAATTATCGGATGTCGTGTAACTAACTAATTTGTTAACCCGCGCATGACTGGGGTATTTTCCATAACGCGAGTGCCTGGGAGGGGGCTCTCCAGAGCCCCCTCCTATCTCCAAAACTACTGGGCCGATCGTCAAAATTCAAACGGTGTCTAATAGCCCTGGAAAAACTGTTATGGAAAACCTATTTTTATTGACCTCGACGTCACCGATGACGTCAAAGGTCAGGTCAAAGTAAAAATTATCGGCCTTTTTGCTTGTTCACAATTTAGGCTCTAGCCGCCGGCTGACAAGTCCGATCAGACTCATTTTTGGCTTACGCACTCCTTGATATATGTCTTAGGTACCCTGAGGGTAACAAACTTTTAGTTCGAATTTTTTCAAGTCAAGGCTAGGTCATCCTAGGTCACGAAAATTGTATATCATGAATCGGTCACGTGACGCATGTTTTATGGTCCATTTTACTCGTAGATTTCGAAAATAATGTCGTATGTGTCATTTGAGGTCATTTTCAGCTGAATTTACAGGAGGTCAGGTCACTTTCAGGTCAGAAAAGGTCAAATTTTGAAAGTGTAATTTTTCAACAAAAAATGTGCCTATCAGATGCAGTTTGAGCTCAGGAACACGATGGTGCCATTTATGTTGCTGTACGATGTCAAAAACGTACTGAAAAAATGGTTTTGAAAATATATGAATATAAAATTTTGACAATTATGCTAACAGCTTGGCTATTTTTGAAGCTAGAGTAGTTGAACGGCGTGTATTCAGTATTCTATCACATATATTCCGTTTTTTGCGAAAAAATAATTTTTTTTTGAAAAAAAAAATCAAAAAATATATTTTTGTAATTGTAAAAACATGTTTTTCCAAATATTCAAAATTTCGATAAATCGATATAGCAGTTTGATAGCTATGTGTAGGTATTTGTAGTCTACTGATGCAAAGAAATTGGATCTAGCTTTAAAACTAACCTCTTGAGAGCGTTTGCCGTAATTTAATATTAGCGTTAACCGGTTAAGGTTGCTAACTTAAGTGAGTCCGGGCTAAGCTATTACGTTCGGTGTTTTGGCATCGGCTGGCCTCGACCCCTGACCCCTTCCTGGGCTCTTCTGAAAGACGCCCTAGAAAGAACAGAGGGAGACAAAAAAAGAAAAAAAAGAATCGCTGCGCGCACTCCGTCGCTCGGCGTCCTAACGGAAAAGGCCGCTTGGGCAGCGTTGCCGCGAGTCCAACATAAGTCGTATGTCGGACTTACTTACGTGCAGTTGTGGTCGTTGTGGTAGCCGTTGTGGTTCCAGTGCCTGCGCCCACGCTGTAAGTTGCTAAAATACATTCATGGTAGAAATCAACGCTGTTACAATATATCGCCCACGTTCTAAATTCCATAAATCTGGGCCTGTCGTGTGTGCGCGACATCTGGTGGCACTATGCGACCCGTAGTTCTCCCCGGTGCACCTAGGTGGCACTACCTGTCCCGTGATGAGGCACGACCGGCGCTGGTGGAGGTGAGAGGTAACTAGGGATGGCGCAACATCCCGCTAATATAATTTGCACGGTTCCATCGTGAAATGACCATTTTGCATTAAAATTGGCCGACATGACGTCACTCGGACGTCATTTCCGGCCAAACTGTGGTAGCTATAAAGTTGAAATTATAACACAATGTGTCAAATTGATGCCGCTGAAGGTACCGCAAGTTTCGTGTTGATCCCTCAAGCGATTTAGAAGATATTGCCGAAAAACGGGAGGGGGCTCTGTAGAGACCCCCAGTCATGCGCGGGTTAACTCGCGTCCTGCTGGGGGTGTTTGAACCCCCCCCCCCCCCCCGGTGGTTTTTAGCAAATATCTCAAAAACGGCGGCGCTTTTGGCACACCTTATCATACATCTTTTCTACATATGTTGTGAAAATTTTAGACCCAGGTCACTTAAGGTCAGCTCACCAGGTCAGTTCAAGTGGCCTCACTTCATCAAAAGTTTCACTGCCTGCCAAAGCTACACCGGGTGACCGATGGCTTTGAAACTTTCAGAGTTTGATAAGAGCAGCATCATGTACAAAATGTAGGTATATCTTGGAATTTTGATATCGATGACCTAAGGTCAGGTCAATTTTGCGACCTCCCCATTATAAGTCAATGGGAGAAATTTGAAAAACGCCTTATTTAGACAGAAGTCATTATAAAGACTCTAAAACACTGAATTACTAGTATCTTTGACACCCTGAACATGAAAACGGCAGCCGTGACCCTTTTTTATGCCCCTGAGATCATCTCAGGTCACCAATGGTATCTGACTGTTTTTTTCGCGAATAACATTTGATAGGGGCATGCTAGAGCGATGAAAACACCTCACTTGTGTTTGGCTCGACGATACAGATCGACTGATATGCAACTTGAGACCCTTACCGGTCAGGTCATGACCTTGACCTGAGGTCAAATTTTCAAGTTGACCTTTCGAGGTCAAGTGATAGTTCATTCCACGCGTCTTGGCGAGAGGAACACGATGCTGGTAAAAGAAAGTTCGTGCAAGGTTTGAGTCATAAGTAATGGCAGACAAATCGGTTTCCGAAAAAAATCGGCTATTTTGGCAGTTTTTGTCCCCTGCAGGCAAAACCGTTGAGGTAGGTCAAATGCGAGAGAATTACTCAGAAAAAGCGTTAATAGGGCTATCAAATGCGGCGCTGTAGCTTCATTAGTTTCTGAGCTATGCGTGATTTGTTGAAAATTGTCGACAACTGACCTAAAAGTCGGCGAATTTGGGCCTTCAATGACCTCTGGTGACCTGACCTTTTGACCTGACCAAAAAAGTGACCGATGTGATTTTTCCTAATTTTTGACGCTCTTTCGAATGGCGCCTTTCCCGTATCGCTACGTGGCTCAGGAGCCGAGTTAGAAGGGGGTGTTCACCCCCCCCCCCCCCAGCAGGGCGTGGAAATCCAGGACCCCCAGCAGGGCGCACGTTAAACGTCTAGACGATTAACAAATGTTTAACATCTTGTAGACAGTTTGTCTAGTCTGAAACATGGCGTATTTTTCATATATTATGTATTTTGTTAACAATTTACTATAAGCGCCCGAAAGATATCGGCGGCACTGGATAAAATTATTAAACCGCTCGTAGGTAGAAAAATCTTTCAAACGCCTCGCCTATCGGCTCGACGTTCAAAAGATTTGTTCTACCTACTCCCGGTTAAATATATATTATCCCGCACCGTAGACAGTGTTTACAATTGCTTCGCGTGCAAAAAGAAAAAATTATCAGATGTGGCAGAAAAAAAATCTGATCAGAAAATTATCAGATGGCATAAGGGGTGAGTCAATATCCCTTCTTCCTCCAAGGTTTACGTCTCTTCGATACGCACTACTTTTAGACATTTCATGAGGCATAAGTAAAGAATTTGCATGCATATCAGTGCGGTAAAAAACAATAGCGGTCTGGTTGAACCCACGTTCTGTGACCAGCCGACTCAAAATTACCACGCAACTTACATAAACATGAAAAGTATTCATTAACCTTTAAGTGTGTCAAGAAATTATTTTAGTCACTCAAAACAGAGTAGTTTTAGAGGAAGTTTCAATTTGTCCCAATTTATCTGGAACACCCTGTAGTTAATTGGCTTCCCGGCAATATTTTCCAATAATGTCATTTATAAAGTGGTATTCAGTAAGCAAGTTAAAGGGACCCTCCCACCTTAACATTAGATTTGAGTTGAGATAGTCAAAATGGGGTCCCTGGCTCACAATTACCGGTTTCGGCACTCACAACATCGAGAAATGCCTTAAATCGGAAATATTGAATTTCAAAATTGCAGCATTTTGATTCAGAGGGGCTAATGCATAGGAATACCCCTCTGAATGTGTGACGTCAGCGCAGATATCTAACGATTTTTAAATGTTTGACTAAAACGTTTTGTAGCACGCGGTGGTATATGCTGCGTTGCGCGCAACAAATGCCGCACTTTTAAATAAAGTCGCTAGGAACAGCGGAGATCCCAAAAAGTAAACAAAAGTAAAAGTCTAATATCTTGAAAACCGGTGAATATTTTTCGGTGAAATTTGGTACATATTCGTTTTCGCTCTTTCTGAACCGAGCGACATCACTTTCATGCCAATTCATAAACTTTTTTGAAGGTGGGAGGCATAAGCGTAGGAACCATGGGTGCAAGGGTGCAGCTGCACCCACAATATTTCTCCAGTGGGTGCAGACAATGTATTCTGCACCCACAATAATCTGAACCAAAAACCCCTTTTCTCATCAATACTACTTTCCATGCAGCACGGCAAATTCAGGATATGTTGCCCGCTATCCATCTTTCGAAGCATTTGCTTTTGTGATGGTCTTCAAAACTTAGGTACATTTGTGCTGAAGAAAAAGGGAAATGGAGCATGTGATTGAACACATACCGAGCCGATGACCCACTGTCAAAATGTTTAGCCCGATATCTTCGAAAATGGCTAAGTTGGCCGCTTTTATGTACTTGTTACTGTAGTCAATATTGGCAATTTACTAACCCTCGCATGTGTGCGGCGTTTTCCAGCTTCTCATGTGTAGGGGGAGGGGGGGGGGACTGATCGAGCTAGAGCTTCGCGGAAGAAAACGAGGGTGGTGCCCGTGACGAGAGGAAGCCGATGATACCCAATTTTAAGGTCCTAGGTCATTGGTTGACCTTCCATGTCAGGTCAATGTTCCAAAATTCGGGAAAATCGGACCTGCTAGAACTGCGTAAAGTGAAGCTGTTATCGGGTTTTTCGGGGTGCTGATCACGAATATCATGTTAGTTTTTATCACAGATGATTTCTTCATGCATTTAGGCCAGATCAGGTCAGGTCAGGTCAGGTCAACCATTAGGCGTCCTACCGGCTATCCATAGCAGGTGTCAACTACCACTGACGGCGTCGTAGGCTAGCATGTTACGAAGGCACGAAAAATACTTCGTAAACGTTCAAATGGATGCTAAATTCGAAATCAGCCCGAAAAACTACCCTAGAAACATGTAATACTCGAAAAAGTGAACCGAGGCCATCAAAGGTCCAATGACCTGACCTGACCTTCAAGTGACCTTCACACCCACCGTGATGCATGGGGCAAACATCATTTCACATGTTTGTACGTCTACAATCACAAAAAGAGTGGAAACGCGCGGATAATGTGAGCTGACATACGCCAAATCGCGAATCCGGCCGAACATGGTCTCGAGAATCAGGTCACAGGTCAAAGGTCTTTTGGGTCAGGGTCATGAAATTTTCAGAGTAGGTGTAAAACTGATCAACTCGAGGGTACTTAAAGTTTCGTCGCGATCAGCCGCTTTTTGCGCGAGTTATGTGCGAAAAGCCACGGGGGGGGGGTTCATCCGAAACCCCTACACATGCGAGGGAATTAATGCTTCCAAATGCACTTATCGGTCGGTACCTTTTCGACATGGTATATGTACAGTATACACCCCCCTCAAAGCTCGTAATGAGCCTTCGCTCGGGTGTGTCGCTCCCTACCCCCCCCCCCCCCGCTTCACCGGCCATGGCTGGATTTCTGCACCCATGCACCCACAATGTTCCAGCCGTTCCTACGCCCATGGTGGGAGGGTCCCTTTAATTGAGGCTTTGCTGAAGTTTACAATTTATTTATTTATTTTTCATTTATTTGGCCCTCCTTCTAACGGGCAGCTTGGCGACCCATTTACATTGGAGAGCTTCTGCTTCTCCTGGTCCTTCCCCCCCCCCCTTCGCTATTAATGAGTTTCTACGTATCGCTGTGTTGCTGTATACTAATTAATTACTAAAAAGCGAAAGGTTATACAAGTAGGTGTCTGCATGCATAGCGAAAGTGCCTGTGCAGGCTAGATATCTCTGCTTTCATTTTACTGCATGAAATATGCAACAACATTGCAAGTTGCAAAAGCGGATAGGATGATGACCTGAAAGTGACAGCATATAAGACCTGCGCCGCTGCAGAAAATATTAGCCTCGTGTCGGCAGAGCCAGAGTATAAGGCTAGCTCGGACGCTACCAAGGGAGTGGAAAGAGACGAGAGAGAGAGAGAGAGAGAGAGAGAGAGAGAGAGCCGGAGAGAGGATAGGAAGAGGGATGGCCTCGTCTCGAAGACTGGTGACGGTGGTGCTAGTGATGATGGTGACGGCTGTTCACTGATCGGATGCTAGAAGTCTGGCAGCATCCCCTAAAGGTGAGTGGCAGCGGCGTAATAATGCTAGAAATGTGTGGTCCACAGGTTATAGATAAACGGGTTACCAATGTGGGACAAATGCCCTGCAGCGCTAGAAATTGATGGACAAATTAAAGTGACCATCCCACCTTAACATTAGTTTTGAGTTGAGATAGCCAAATTGGTGGCCATGGCCTGCAAATACCAGTTTGGGCACTCACAACATCGAAAATGCTTTAATTCGGAGATATGGTATTTAAAACTTGCAGTTTTTGGATTCTAAGGGGCTAATGCATTGGAATGCCCCCCTTAGAATTTGTGACGTCAGCAGAGATCCAACGATTTTTAAATCTTAGACTAAAACCATCGTTAACACGTGGTGGTATACGCTGCTTTGCGCGCAACGTTTGTCGCACTTCAAGGCTGCCAAATTATTGCTTCCAAATAAACTCGCTAGAAACAGGAGGGATCCAAAAAGTAAACAAAAGTCAAAGTCAAATTTCTTGAAAACCGGTAAATATTTTTCGGTGAAATTTGGTAGATATTCGTTTTCGCTCTTTCTGACCCGAGCGACATCACTTTCATGCCAATTCATTAACTTTTTTGAGGTGGGAGGGTCCCTTTAAGTATACATTTTTTGGGGGATCCGGTATATATTGGGCGGGAGGGTGCAGGCCGGCGCACTATTGGTGTCGGCAAAATACAGTAGAATCCGCTTAATAAATCCTCGGATAATAAATCCAGCCGCTTATTGTGGCCGCTTGAGCTGTTCACGGATTTTCTCCATAGATAACCATAGTTAATAAATCCGCTTAATAAATCCACGAACTCCGCTTAATAAATCCACTTGGGAGTTTCGAAGTCCGTAGTGACGTCTCCCCACTCGAAATGTGGCATCCAGCCCGCTCCCAAAGAACCGCTCTGGAGCAGTAGCGGCGGAACACCTTCAATTAAGGGGGGGGGGGGCACTGCCGACTTTTGGTCCCATTCTTTCCATGCAACGCCCATAGGGCTAATGTTAAAATGCCAAAATCAAAGGGGGGCACGGTGCCCCAATGCCCTCCCCGTTCCGCCGCCTATGCTCTGGAGCAGCGGTCAGCAGCAGTTGGAGTTCTAAAACAGAAGTTCAGGGCTATAAAAAGCGCAATCAACATACACCTCAAACTCTGAAACGCACGCCTTTATAAATTAGGCTGCATTACGAAAGTCAAATTATTCGAGGTCCGGAGTCCGGACCCCCGCGACCCCACCGATGACGGAGACCCTTGTCACTTTCATTGGAATAAGTACCTAAGGCAATTAAGAATCATGGTAGCCTATACGCTTATATTTCACGGGAACGGAACGTGCAGCTGAAATACATGTTTTTTTAATGAAAATAGCTGACTCCGGTTAATAAAGCCACCGCTTTAAAAAATCCAAAACATCTTGTCAACAACGTGGATTTATTAAGCGGATTCCACTGTATTTACAAGTTATTACAGCCGGCCGCGGCGTTAGCCGGCAGAGAAGCCTTCCTACAAAACAAAATCTACTGGCACTTTGAGGTCTCCATCCTTTGACCTTAGATTTGACATTGAAAGTCAAGGTTTAGAGCGAAACCGATGCGATTTTCGTAATCTTCTCAGTGCAATTGAGAATTGACTTAGCGCTATGCTGAAAGAAATCGGAATTCGTCACTGAAAAGGTCGCTGACGTCGACACCAACTTCACGCACATTATCATGTAGGTATGTCATGCATCACAATATCACAAATGTTCTGTCCTATTTTCAGGTCATGCTGGGCAACCCACGACCACGATTCGCCAAGTACCTACCATCGGAGGAGGGCTTCGTTGGGTACTTCGGGGTCTCTCCTCTGGGTGAGGGTACTGGTGTTCTCAGTAACCAGGCTCAAGCGACAGCTGAGCGGCTGAGCCGGGAGACTTTCTCCCCACCCAGTGGCCTCCGTTATTTGCCGGTGCCGCCAGTGCCACGCGTACGGGTACTGCAGCGACAGTTGAGCCGGGAGACTTTCCCTCCACTCCGCTGCCTGTGGAGGCATTGGCCGCCAGTGCCACGGGATACCCACCACCATCACCATGTGACAACTATTGCGACCCCCCAGACGCAATCAATCATCACATTTTTGACACATTGGCTGGGGAAACCGAGGCGTTGGCTTTCGCAAGACTGTGAATTTTCGCCGGCCGTCATAGCAGAGTTCACTTAGCAGCCCGAAACAACCTACGGTGCAATGGGATGTGACTGGGTCAATATCGGCGAGGTGTTATTGTAACAACGAAACTAACACATTTCTTGTGTATCACATGAAATACATGCCAGTGTAATCGGAGTTGTGGTTTAGGATGGTGTCATCGGAAAACAAAATGAAGGCGTGACGACTGCGTTTTAACTTATTTGCCTCATTTTAAAGTTGTTTCGAAAAAAGGTGATAACACCGCCGGTAGACCTAAGTTATCATATATTTAAGTTATTTTTAAGTTATTAAGTTATATTTAAGCTTATCATAGCTCACCTACAAATCACTCTTTGCAAAATCCATGTAAGTACCTATAGGGAGACTCGGGAGTTATGGGCCCCCGGGAGGTATGCGCCATGGCTGTTTTGAAGAAGTGTTGTGTATTTTTACACATTTGACCGCGTAAACTGGTAGCAGACATTCCGTTATACAACCCACGTGATTTCCAAAAGCAGCTCAGCCTTCTTTGGCAATGAGCGGTGATAAAGCGTTTTTGCCCTCTTCGAGTAAAATACGGTAGTTACATACAGAAAATTCGTGAAAATTTTGAACCAGGCTCGTTGTATGATGTCACCCATCGCTAACATAAAGTTAGCATGCAAATTAAGACTGGATAGACAATTTGAAGCTTTCTTGCAAGATTATGAGCTGAGCGCGCACATTCCGGCGTCCTAGCTGGGAGGTTCGGGCCACCCACCCCCGTTGATCCTAAATCAATAAAATGATGCTTTCATTGAATGTCGTCTTCAATAAGTTTTATTTTTGTCGCGCAAGGTCAAAAATCAAACTATAGTTCGTTTTTTTTCAAAAGGACGCTGGCTCCAAGTATGTTTTTCGAACAAGCACGTGTTTTAGCGGGCAAAACGAGCAAAAACTGAACCTGAGAAAATCGAACGTTGACTAATTTTAGCATGTGATTTCTTCCCCATAATTTCCATATGTGCGTTTCGGAACCAGATAGGAGAACAGTGGTGACGTCATGCTGTCGAGCATGTATTGCAATGTAACGTATAACTTTCATGGACGGAATCGCTCAATCGATTATAAGGTCGGCATCAGTGAAAAACTAAGCTTCACCCAAATTCGTTGACACTTGTCCCATTGCACGGACATTTGGGTGCCTGCTGCCACCAGTGACGTAATCATAGCATGTTCATTTTTAACCTTCGCCCCAGTGGGGGGGGGGCATATGTTACCACCCTGTCGCGTTTTTTTCGTATAAATAAAAAACCGCGGCGCGTAGCGCCGCGCCGCTTGGGGTAGCTTTTGGTACATCAATTTTGGACAATGTGTGAAATTTTTGACCCCAGGTCATGTCAGGTCAGGTCACTAGGTCAAGTTAGCTGACCAAGCCTAAAAAAAATTTGCAATCATGTCCAGCCTGCAGTGTTTGTCAGAGAGGTTTAAAACTTGGTGGATTACATGATGTTATGGGTGCCTACAATTTGTATATCTCGGATTTTTTATATGCGTGACCTAAGGTCAGGTCAGTGGCGTGACCTTTCCATTATAAGTCAATGGAGAAAAACGAAAATGCCTCTAGATCCGTGTGTACGCATAGGAACAGTCCAAATATTTCAGGATAACAATGATTTGGACCACCCGTGACGACCAAGGTGTCTTTTTTGCTGATAGCCTCTTGAAAGGTCATCCGAGGTCATTTGAGGCCACAAACAGTTTTTTTGCCAATAACTCTCGATTGGAAAGAGATAGAACGCTGGGGTTGGCCTCATTGTGTTTGTCTTGCCAAGACGCATCGACTGATATGCAACATGACCTTTTCCGGTCAGGTCATGACCTTGACCTGAGGTCAAATTTTGAAGTTGACCTTTCAAGGTCAAATTATAGTTCATTCGACGCGTCTCGGCGAGAGGAACACGATTTTGGCATTAGAAATGATCTAGCTTTTTTTAGTCAAAAGTTATTGTCGAAAAACACTTTTCTTAAAAACAGCTATTTTTGGAGTTTTTGCCCTCTAGAGGCTAAACCGTTGACCTGAGGTCATTTTAGATGATGACCTTATCAAAAGAAGAGTTCAAAAGCTATCGATTGCTTTTCCTAGCGTTTTTCTAGCTATCATAGTTCCTGAGATAATGGCATGTTTTCTGAAAAATATAATGACAATTCGCAAATTTTGACCTTTGATGACCTCTGGTGACCCCAATATTGCTCTAAGATGAAAAATGACCGAAATACTTTCAAACGTACGCATTAATTGCTATCGACTGCTTTTCACCGCGTCTTTCTAGCCCTCTTAGTTTTTGAGTTAGAGGTGGGTGGTAACATATGCCCCCCCTCACTAGGGCGAAGTTGGCGGAGACCGCCACTGGGGCGCGGGTTAAGCAACAATTTCCAGCTACTTACCGTGCACAATTTGAAATCGATTATTTTTTCGCTAAGAAATTCTTGACCAGACACTGAAGCTGCCAAAACTCACGTGAGAGCTTCGATATTGAACTTGGAGCCAGCGTCCTTTTGAAAATAAACGAACTATACATACAAATTTCATTCGAACAGAAATATATTATTTATCTTATTTCATGGAGCATGATTGAGTTTACCAAAATACATATGTGCCCAAGCGACCTCCTTGAAGTAAGCTGTCGGCCATTTATGCAGTTCCTGGGCTCTAAAAGAGAGCAAGGTAGATACCAGCTACGAGGAAAGAATATGAAACATGGCACCGGCCCATACCTCCCGGGCCATGGCCCATACCTCCCGGTGTATTTTGATGGAACGAAAAAGCGCATGATTGTTATCTCGAGACAAAATAGTTGATCCCAGATGCCTATAGTTCGTTTTTTTTCAAAAGGACGCTGGCTCCAAGTATGTTTTTCGAGCAAGCACGTGTTTTAGCGAGCAAAACCATAGAGATCTTATATACATAGAGATGACATGCACTTAAAATCGTGGCGATTCAGTGGGTCTTTTTAAGCAGCTTATTTTCAGCCAGTAGCGTGCCAATATGGCTGAGGCATTGTTAGTCTGAAGAAATTATTACGTAGCGAGCGAAGCAAGCGTAGTCTTTCGTAGATTAACGGAAATTTCTGAGTATGAGCGACCGGCCGGCCGTGGTTACGCTTTTGCGAGGCTTATATCTCAGCAACCACTTGACCGATTTACATTCGATGATTTTTTTAGGGTAGCTTCATTCATTCTACCAAGTATTGGACTATTCTCGATGCATGTGGGTGACCGCTTATGCACGTGCCACGTGCAAAACGAAGAGGTGTCAGTTTTGCAATTGTTGCAATATCTACTCTACAATATCTACTACTTGGCCGATTGCGCTGAAAGTTGGCATGTAGATAGGCACCCACTAGGCAATGCATATCCATGTGCCAGAGTTGGGGTGCTGCTGCACGTGCGCACGTGCAGGGGTCGATTCCAGATCTCGAGAACGGCTTGACCGATTGCGCTCAATTTGGTACACGGTTACGGAGCAGTTAGTAGGTTGCCGTGCACAAGTCAGTTGGGACCCATTTGGCACGTGCGCACGTGCAGGGTGCCGCTTCCAGATCTCGAGAACGGCTGGGCCGATTGTGCTCAAATTTGGCACATCGCTAGGGACCGGTTAGTAGCGTGCAGTGCACAAGTTAGTTGGAGGTGTCCCTTGCAAATTCGCTTGTCCAAGGCCCACCTTCTCGCTCGCTCCGTTGGTCGCCCCAAAAGGCGTTTTACTCGTTAAAAATATTGCTGTTCTTTCCTGGCTGATTTCATTCCTGAGGTAAGCAATGAAATTGGTAGCATGATTTCATTTTGTGTTTTTATTGAATTCATTAAAAGCTCGCCTAAAAACATTCTCTCTCATTCAGGCTCTCATCAACCCGGCAGGCGGTGGACCTCCCGTCCACCTTCCGCGCGGTGGGGGGGGGGGGGCATTTTTTTGCCCCCTCCCGTATCTCCGAAACTACTGGACGGATCCGTAACATTCAAACGATGTTCGATAGTCCTGTCAAATTTGTCGACGGAACTCCAATTTCATTGACCTCGGGGTCACCGATGACGTCACAGGTCAGGTCAAAGATAAAATGTTTCGCGTACGTTAAAAATAGGGCGTACGTTGCCTAGTATACAGGGTGATCCAAAAAAATTGGAACCCCTAACTTAAAATGTCCGTAAATTTGAAAGTTTTCACATTATTGACAAATTGCAAACACCATTAGAAAGAGCGTTCAATTCTCTATAAAACCAAGTTGGTTGAACTTAACTATTACTATAAATATTGCCCTAGTTATATGCCTATAAAATTTGTGTCACGAAACTCACTGAAACGGTTTTGAACATAATGCGCAAATCAGTGATTTGCGGTTTGCTGTTCTGACCATGTCGCATGTTGGAGGTTCATGAACAAAAATAGCTCATTCACGTGCTATTGTAAGGAATTTAAATTTCAACAGGAGCAAAAAAAAAAAAGTCATTCGGTGCTCCGTGCAGCTCCGTGCCACACGGCCCACTCAGTGGTCGAGTTTCTGGAACAGGCCTGCCCGGCCTTCATCGAGCCAGATGCCTGGCCACCGAAGAGTCCTGACCTAAACCCTTTGGACTTCTTCGTGTGGAGCGAACTGGAGCGAATTATGTATAGAGGTCAGAGGATCAGCACCATAGAGGAGCTGAAGGAAAGGCTGACGGCCTGCTGGGATCAGTTGTCCCAGAGACTGCTGGCCGGCGCCGTCGGAGCCGTCCCGAAGCGACTGCACAGTAGGCCGGCCGGCCGCCAGGAGCGCTAGAAATGCCGAAAAATGAAACGTGCTCAGGGTGCAAAAAATTAATACCCACAGACTCGAAATTGATCATAGGATACGATGCCGTGCCGTGAATAAGTATGAGACCGATGTCACGGCCAATATTCAGCTCCGAACACAGTCTAACTGACGGTTAGGGAATGAAGCGGCTATCTGAACGATTTCGACTAGATTTTGAATTGCTCTTTTCTCATGAATGAACATCTTATTGGTGAAAATAAACGACTGCACATGATGCACACGGTTATTGTGATCATGTTCATAACCAATTTCATTGGGCTCACTCATCTGATTGCACTCTAAATAGTGAGTTTGCAACATGTTGCAGACATCTACATAAGCTTATAT